CGAGCGACCTCCATGACTAAGCCAATGCGGCGCTCAGCAACCCCATTCTGCTGCGGAGAGGCCGGAAGCGTGAAATTCTGGCGGATGCCGTGCTCCGCACAGAAGGCTGCCAAGTGGTCTGAGGAGAACTCACCACCTCTGTCAGAGTGCAGACGCAGGACAGGAAAGTCCGACTGGAACCGCTCGCGGAGCTGGAGACAAGTAGCGCGGATCCAGGGGATGAAAACATCAGGGACATCCCCCTTGCGCTGCAAGGGGAAGACCGTGGTGTAGCGCGTGTAGTCGTCGACAACCAGCAGGAAGTACCGCTCATGGCCCTGTCCACGGACGCGGGCTGGGCCCCACACGTCAAGGTGGAGAGTCTGCAGTGGAGCCTCTGTGGGAGGGAACGAGGAGGAGTGAGGAGCGGCGCGCTGCCGCCCCTCGACGCAGGGAATGCAGGGCGGCGCAGGCGAGGGAGGGAGGGGAGGCAGAGACATGGGAAGACCAGAAACCAGGAAGCGAGAGTGCATGCTGCGTAGGCGAGGCAGGGAAGGGTGACCAAGGCGGTGGTGCCACAGGAGAGTGTCGTGCGACAGCCGGCGACGCTCACACTGTGTAGCTACCTGAGCAGACGCGTGCAACTGGGGAGACAAAGGGGCGGAGCGCGACGCAGTGGTGAGGGTGTACAGACTGGACCCTTGCGCACGAGCGAACGTGGCCAGGTGGCGACCAGTCTGGGAGCACGTGCAAATCGCCACACGCTGCCGGCCAGGGGTGAAGGTGTCAACCCCCGCATCCTGGAGGACAGCGTTACTCACCAAGTTCGTAGAGAACGAGGGGAGGTGGAGACCAGACAGCTTACCTGACGGGACCGCCGGACACGGAAGCACAGTGGAAGACCGTGCAAGCACTGGGCCCCCAGAGGGGTCAGCCAGTGAGACAGGAACAGGTGCAGGGAGGGGAGTGACTGTGGTACTGTCGCGAAAGAAACAGCGCGAAGCACCAGAGTCAAGTGTAAAGGTGTGCAAGGCCTGTGCAGGCGCAGGACCAGGGGGAGCAGACTCACAAGCACCTAGTGCTGCAGGGGCTATACCAGGGGTTATACCAGGAGCCGGCGGCACACACAAGTAGCAGTCACCCTCAGCACTAACAGACAAGGCATACATAGCAGCAAGAATTGCCTCATATTCAAGATCAAAGATAGGTACATCACGCCTAAGCAAGTCTGCCCAGTTGGGGAACTCAGGAGCATCAGGAAACTTGGCGCGCCAGGCGTCGCTAAGCCGAGCGAAGCAGCGCTGCTCAGTGTGAAAACCTGTGCACTGGCGACCAGCGCGGGGACCTGTGCGGATGATATAGGGGCAGCGACCAGGACCCCCAGAAGCCCCACGCCCGGCATACCAGTCAAGAAGTTGCTGGGAAGTGGGGGTCTGGCGCTGACGCTGATGCTGCTGCTGCTGCTGCTGCTGCTGCTGCTGCTGCTGCGGCTGCTGCTGGCCCTGACCACCAAAGCCACTACCGCTCCCTCCTCCCCCACCGCCGCTGCTGCCCCCTCCACCGCTCCCAGTGCCTCCGCCGCCCCCACCACCACCTCCACCGCCTCCACCCCCACGACCACCCCCACCACCTCCACCTCCCCCACCGCCTGCACCACCGCCACCTCCACCGCCACCCCCACCGCCCCTGCCACCCCTGCCGCCCCTGCCGCTGCGACGCTTCCCACTAGGAGCGGAAGCAGCTCCGACCCCCTCAGCACCAAGGTAGTCGTGAGCAGCAGCTGCGGAGGCATAGGAGGGGGTGAGAGGGGAGGGGGAGCACCCCTCAAAGAGGGGAGAGCAAGGAGTGCCACGAGCAGCACCTACAGCGAGGATGTTCTTCTCTGCTGCGAGGAGGTGCTTCTCAAAGTCGTCGACAGTGAGAGTGGTGGGGTCTAGGGCTAGGAAGTGGTCCCTGACAGAGCTAAGAGTGTCAGGGAGGCGGGTGACGAGGAAATAGAGAGTGAAGTACATCGGGGGGGGGTTTGCGGCGCAGAACTCGGCTGAAAGGGCGGCACGAAAGCGAGAGTCAGTAGCGCGCAGGTGAGAAACTAGGTCCTCAGTAGTGGTGAACGAGGAAAGATCGGGGAACAGGTACGGTAGCATGAGTCGACCTATGGCTGCAGTTGCCGGGGAGGAGTAGCGTGCAACTACAGCGTCGTACAGTGTCTTAGCAGTTCTGTGCTGGCTGAAATGCGCTCGCTCAGTAATCGGCAGGTGGTTCCTAATAGCTAGGCGTGCAGCAGCATCACGAGTCTGCCACTGGGAGCGTTCTAGAGCAGGAGCATCAGCAGCAGGAGTAACGGCAGTGCCAGAGACGTAATCAAACAGGGAAACGCCCTCTTTGGCATCAGTCAGAAGGAACAGCTGGAGATCGTCTAACCACACAGTGAACTCGATGGGACGACCGTCAGGCTCGAACGCTAGAACGTTAGGCGTCGCCATATTGGCTTAAGGCAGGAGGCAGCAGGCAGCAGGCAGCAGGCAGAGGCAGCAGGCACCAGGTAGGAGGCAGGAGGCAGAGGCAGGAGGCAGGGGCAGCAAGCAGCAGGCAGGCGGCAGCAGGCAGCAGGCAGACGGCAGGCAGGCGGCAGCAGGCAGCAAGCAGGCAGGCGGCAGCAGGCAGGAAGCAGCAGGCAGGTAGCAGGCAGGCAGCAGGCAGGCTGCAGGCAGGCGGCAGCAGGCAGCAAGCAGGCAGGCGGCAGGCAGGCGGCAGGCAGGCGGCAGCAGGCAGCAAGCAGGCAGGCGGCAGCAGGCAGCAAGTAGCAGGCAGGCAGCAGGCAGGCTGCAGGCAGGCGGCAGCAGGCAGCAAGCAGGCAGGCGGCAGCAGGCAGCAAGCAGCAGGCAGGCAGCAGGCAGGCAGTAGGCAGGCTGCAGGCAGGCGGCAGCAGGCAGCAAGCAGGCAGGCGGCAGCAGGCAGGCAGCAGGCAGGCGGCAGGCAGGCAGGCAGCAGGCGGCAGCAGGCAGCAAGCAGCAGGCAGGCAGCAGGCAGGCAGCAGGCAGGCTGCAGGCAGGCTGCAGGCAGACAGCAGCAGGCAGCAAGCAGGTAGGCAGGCAGGTGGCAGGCAGGCGGAGGCAGGCAGCAAGCAGGCAGGCGGCAGCAGGCAGCAAGCAGCAGGCAGGCAGCAGGCAGGCAGCAGGCAGGCGGCAGGCAGGCGGCAGCAGGCAGCAAGCAGGCAGGAGCGGCCTGAGGGCTGCGTGAGGCTGCTGGCTGCGTGTGGCGGCTTGCTGCACGAGGCTGCAGGCTGCGCGTGGCTACGGGCAGTGCGCGCGGCCGCAGGCTGCGTGCGGCGACGAGCTGCGCGGGCTGCGGGCTGCTTGCAGCTGCGGGCTGTGCGTGGCGACAGGCAGCGTGCGCGGCTGCAATTTGCGTGAGGCTGCGGGCTGCGCTGGGCGACGGGCCGCACGTGCGCGGCTGCGGGCTGGTCGCTAAGCTGCGGGCTACGCTGGGCGACGGGCCACGCTGGCGTGGCCTAACTAGGTTGCGCGCGGGCGGCCTAAGGGGCGTACAGGCGGGGCCGAAACGGGCTACGCGGGCTGCTGAAGCTGCGCACGTGGGAAAAAAAAAGGACCGCCCAAGGCGCGCGCGGGCAGCCGAGGCGCGCGTAGGCACTAGACAAGGCAGGCAAGCGTGGTGGGCCCTAATCCTAGGTCCTAAGGACCTATGCTCTATACCATGTTAGAATTGTAGGCAAAAGTGATGTCGACTATCGAGAGGGTTGGTACAAAGAAATGAACCTAAGGGGTTGTACCCCACAGTGTGTACCCCACTAAGCCTACCCAAACTATAACATAGATGTACATATGTTTGACAGTACAAGGTGGTTTAGCAACTCTGATATTAAAACGCTTCCGCAACTACAACATCTCTACTTCAACCTCGATCTTAGCCTTGACAGATCCTAAGGGCTTTTCTCAGCCCAACAAATAGTCAATGTTCTCATACGGCTGCAATGATAATGTGAGAAAAGGCTTGCTCTCGTCGTTATGAAACTTTGTAAATCACATTACTTCTCTATCCTGCTCTCAGGGTACATTCCTGTGGAGACACAAATGTCTCAATCGCTTTGTGACACACAAAAACAGCATAAACTGTAGTGTGTCCCAATTGCGAGTAGCATTTCCGCGACCATTACTGTATTTTTTATTGGTCAGCGTGAAACGCGCTGACGTCGCTGACGAATTGTAATCTGACTCGTCAATGTGAAAAATTCGCACGCTGCTCGAAATGTCAATGCACCTGGACAGCCTGCAATGCCAATTTCGTGCGGGAAAAAATCCCGCTCGTCGAAACCACACCCCAGCCAAGCGGTTGAAAAAAGGGATGTACAGTCATTTGTGTCACCCAAACAAATGCGCACAACTGTACATCTCGCCTGGTCGCCTAGAGTCGCGATACATTGGTTGTTTGTGACACAACATTTGGCAAATTTACAGGCGCGACTCGGGAAATCGGGGATTGAGACACAAGTGTCCCCGCAGGAATGTACCCTCATTTGTAAAATTATTACCATGATACATCCCACAACTAGTAAAAGTGTGGTTTCGTCTTCTTCACCACAATGCTGAGCGACTCCCCAACGCCTGGAGCACGAATGTAACCAACCGCCTTGCTCCAAAGGTCCCAGCAGGCACATTCCATAACCAACAGCTGCATGGAGGGGGGGACGGTGCACCAGTGGAGGTTAAGAAACGATTCTAATGCATTTTTCTATCCCTGTTGCATCTCGCTCGCTTCTTTCTACTCCGCCAAACCCCTTTTCTACAGCACCACCCATTTTACCCTCCCAGCATAACTTGCAACTCACCTAGTAAACTGGAAAAAAACATCCGCACTTGGTGACCGCACTGATTCGGTGCATTCCTCCAGAAACAAATGCTCGGCATCGTTGCATAGACCCAGCATCATTGCAGTCCATCTCCTCTGTGCCAGAGTCTGGCATTAAGCCTTCTCGGGGAAACCGCTTCCAGCACCCTCCTCCCTCACACCTCGTGGAACCCCACACTCTTCCGTACTGACCCATTCGCACCATATCCACTTGCACCCCTCCCACGGCCGCACTCTCCCCCTCTTTTCATCATCCTCCCCCCACCCTCCTCCTCCATCTCTGAGAATGATACGCGCCGGGCGGCTTTCGTCAGCGGCGACAGCTCATCACTCTGGTCCTCACCGCTTGCACTCCCCTTGCCATCCCCATCAGCGCTCTCACCATCACTGCTCCCAGGAGCCTGCGCCGAACCTGCCTGTGCGTCACAAGGCTCGGGGTCAGGATAGGGGAAGGAAGAGGTGCGGGTTCGGGGCATGGGCATGGTCTCGGCATGAACGAAAGCCGCACTCTCATCAGTCGGCTGTTGCGAGCCATCAGCATGGGAATCGGCGCCGGAACCGGCATGACGAACTGAAGCAGCGCCGTCTGATCTCTGCCGGTGGGGCAGAGGGGTGGTTTCCACACGAGAGAGCACCAGCCCGTTCCCCTGTCTACTTGCCTGGTTCCCCCGCCCCAGGTTGCTGGGACCCATGCTCCCCCTCAGCCCCGCCCGCCCTGCACTCCCCGCCCTCCTCGCTGCCCCCCGCTGCAACACCAGCGAGCGGTGCTGGGGACTGCCTGTGCCAAACGGGTTACCCACAGCAAACGGGTTGTTGGCCGAGAGAGGGTGGCTGGCAACGAGTGGGTTACCAGCAGCGAATGGGTTACGAATGAAGGGGCTGGAGGCAGCAAGGGAGGAGGCGGCAGGGGAAGAGAAGGGGTCTCGGGCAGGGGAGGTGCCGAGGGGCGTGCCGAGGGGCGTGCCGAGGGAATTGGGGGAGAGGAAGCAGCCATGGGCGGTGGAGAAGGAGGAAGTGGTGCTGAACGAAGAGCGCGCCAGCGCTGCTGCTGCCGACGACGACGCGGAAAACAACGGGTAATGGCCCCCTGCTCCCCCGGCCGCACTCCCACCTGCACCCACCACACCAACGGCAGCAGCAGGCAGCATACCCTCCCCTCCGAACCCCACCCCCGCTCCACCTGCCCCCGCAGCGACAGCGGAGTGCAGCGCAAGCACCATGGCTTTAAGCTCGTCCATGGCTTCCCGCACCTTCCCCAGCTCCTCCTGGACCTGTGGCAGCCCGTGCTTGGGCTTGTGCTGCGGCTTGCTGTAGTCCCGCACCACCTGGTCGCCAAACTGCCTCAGCAGCACGTGCGACAGCTGCTCTGACTCCGGTGAGATTTGCAGCACCGCCGCGGATGAAGGGGAGGGGAGCGAAGCTGACGGATCCTGTGAGTTGTTCCGATGGATGGGGGAGAGGGGCTGTGGGAGGGCGTGAGTGAGTTGCTGTGTTGTCATCGTTCGAGTGGCCTAAAAAAAACAGATTGGAGAAGGTAAAATGAAATCAAGGTGAGCAGTAGAGGACGAATGAAAGACACACCTCCCGGGCGTGGCGGCGCTGCAGGATCATGGCGAGGGAGATGTCATCAATGCTCTGCCCCTTCACCTGCAGCACCCTCTGCGGCGCCACCACTCCCCCCCCACCCGCCGCCATCGACTTCGCTCGCTCCACCTCCGCTGCACTCCCCCCACAAACCTTCCCACGACCAAAGCACGACTTGGCGCGGCGCTTGAAGGACTGATAGCGCTGCATGCGCTTGTGCGCCTCGTCCTGCTGCCTGTTGCGCGCGCCCAGCTGCTCCAGCCGCCCCATGATGTCGCTGTACGGGGAGAAGCGGCCCAGGCTGCGGTTGATGAGGTAGCGCAGGATGGTGCCGATGTCGTGCGTTATGGATGTCGCCACCGCGTGCGAGTCCTGGCAGGGCAGGTGGGAGGCGAGTGTGCGAGGGGGGCTTACTTCTCGTTGTAACCAGAAACTGCTGGATGGAAATAAAGGTGGCGGCAAAAGCTGCAAAAAAAAAAAAAAAAAAAAAAAAAAAAAAAAAAAAAAAAAAAAAAAACACTAAACTAAATGAAATCCTGAAGCCAAATTACCTTGATGGTCATGAAAGAGTCGACGATGATGGCGATGAGGAAGTTGAAGAGGATGAAGACAAGGAGGAGAATGAAGGCGATGAAGAAAAGCATGCCCGCCACCAGGTCCCACCCGTGCATATGTGCAAAGAAGTAGGCCGTTGCATTCTCGTTGAGGATTATCAGGAAACACGTGAACAGCGCCTCCGGCAGCGTCGCAAACTGCACCGGTTGGATCAGGTTGGACAGGGTTTGGGAGGACACAGAGGGAGGATGCATGGGAGTGAATCTTGGCATGATAAACGGCTTTGCAACATGAGGTGCACGAAGGCGCAAGTGAGAAACGAAAGTGGTGACTCGAGCACATGCACATGGGGCGAGCGAGTGAGAGCGAGTGAGAGTAGAGTGGTGTGTGGCGTATCTTCCCACACACACGCACCTGCTCCATCTTGCCGCCGAAGACGAGGTAGCCGTAGAGAGCGAAGCAGAAGAAGACGATGAAGGTGAGCAGGAAGAAGTGCAGCAGCGATGGCATGGCGAGGGCGAGGGAGCGCGTGATGACGCCCAGATAGGGCTGGAAGTCCATCAGCTTGAGCAGACGCACCATGAGCAGGAAGAGGCTGGGGGGACGGACGGGGTGCAGCAACAGGGATGGGCAAGAATGGGAGACAGAAAGGCGTGGGTTGAGGAATCTGGTCACACTATTGAAAGAAGCATGGAGAAGAAGGCGAAGTGAGCAGGTGGAGCAGGGGAAGAAAGGAAGGGAGGCCGGCGCCTACTTGACGCCATGCACTGCAGGGCGAAGTAGAAGCAGAGGGCCACTACAGAACCCAGAATAGCTTGACTTGGCGGCAGCTTATCGAGAGCAGCCAACTCACTTGACGCCCTGCAGGGCGAAGTAGAAGGAGCGCCAGTTGATGAGCGCCTGCAGCGACGAGTATCTATCCATGGCCGCCAAAAACCCCACCGGCGGGTCCGGCACGGCCCAGTACTGCGGCCTCTCCAGCAGCGTGTGGTAGATGTCGTATCGCGGCTGCATGTCAAAGGCCTCTGTGGCCCGCCAGAGCACGATCCAGGTGATGAGAGCGAGCCACTGCAGGAGGAGAGAAGTCATGTCGATCCAGTTCCAGCCGGAACGGAAGTAGCTGAGAACGGACCCCTCTCTCTTCATGCGCCCCCGCAGCTCCACCGCCTCCTCCACCCCGTTCCACAGCAGCGCCAACACGTACACCGCTTGCAGCAGCAGCAGGAACACGGACGTGAGGGTGGGCGGGTAGAGGGTTGTTGAGACGGGGAGCGAGGAGAAGGAGGTGACGAGCCCCCCGCCCGTGTCCACCTCTGCTGTGACGCTCGTGAGGACAAACGTGCTGCTCTCGCCTGGTGGGTGCGGGGTGGACGGATGGGCACGGATGAGGAGGATGATACCAAGACGATAAAACATTGAAGACGGGAGAGAGCACATACTCTGGGCTGGGCCTAGCGCTCGTTGGGTGAGTCATACTCCGGGCCGTAAGGTGCATTTTGAGGCGCCTCAAAACACATCAAACTGCGCTTGTTGGGTGAGTCATACCGTTGTGGGTGATGAAGGAGACCTCGATGGAGCGCGTGGCGTTGTCGACATAGAAGCCATCAGCCAGGTACTGCAGGCGGCTCATGGCGTCCTCAAACGCCAGGTTCACGTCAAACACCAGCGGATACCCCTCCTCCTGCTCCTGCTCTCCGCCACGACACACAGCACATGGTACACAGGAGAGGAAGGAGGTAACGCAGAGAAAGGCGGGCTGTATGAAAGGCAGTGATTGCAACAGCAGCTTTATGAAAACCAGGCCACAGGGGACGTGACCAATGACAGCAGCGGCAGTGAAATTGCCTCACTGTGCAAGAGGAAAAAGAGATGATAGCAGCAGTGGCTCCCTAAGACAGGTGCTGTTGCAGCATGGGGAGAGGCGAGGCGAGCTTACCACGGGGTACACGAAGCCATAAGGCAGCCCCTGTGGGTTGAGCACCAGCTGGTCCTGGGAGGAGGCGTTCTGCGCCTGGGGGGCGGTGGTGGCGGTGGCAGTGGCGGCGGCAGCAACGGGGTTGAAGAGCGTGGAGGAGGGCAGATAGTGCGGGTTCACCCCGAAGGGCTGCCGTGACGTGCCGTTGCTGCACCACCCCGCCAGGTGATGCAGCCTGCAGGGGCGCATGAGAGTGGGGGAGAACGGGAGGCAAGGGAGACGAGGAGAAAACTAAGTGAGATGAGGTTGGGAGGTGCGAGGCGGTGGGTGTGGTTGCAGAGTGACAGGAGAAAAGGAAACCGATGGGAGCGCTTGCGACGAGTGCGGGATAGGGCGAGAGGAATGAAGAGGAAAGTGGAAGGGCGGCAGCAGGAAGGGGTGCGGAGTGAGTGGACTGAGTGACCGTACCCGGAGCTTTGGCACGTATTGACGCTCCAGCGGTGCTGCCGCAGGAACATGCCGATGAGCAGCCTGCCATGGGGGGGCGAGTGGGAGGAGATGGATACACACAAGGCAGCAGTGAGCAGGGCGTGCGGATGGAGTGCACTTGGCACGTCTTGACGCTCCAGCGGTGCTGGCGCAGGAACATGCCGATGAGCAGCCTGCATGGACGCACGTGGGAGGAAGGGCGAGAAAAGAGGCCTTTGAGGCGCCTCAGAACAAGACCAGCGGCTTTTGAGACGTCTCAAAAGTCCTTGGCGCCTAAGAAATAGACCAGCGGCGGCGGAACATGCCTATGAGATGAGTGGCCTGCATGCATCGGAGACATGAAGGATTCAGCTCCCCCAGTCAGTCCGTCCCCATAAAAGACGTTTACCTGTTGTGTGACGCCACAAAGCGGGTGAGTGGCGCGTCCCTCTCAGCAGCAAAGGCGCGGTTGCTCTCCCAGAAGTTGGGGCCGTAGCGCTGCAGTGAGAAGGGGTAGCTCAGATTGTCCCCCACCGCGTCCGACACACAGCATGCTGCTCACATGCACGCAGGCACGGGATGGGGAGGGGGGAGGGGAGCGAGGAGAGAGAGCGACTTAGAGGAGCAGAGGGATGAGCGGCAGGCAGGGTAAAATGTGGCGGGATGGCTTGAGGCGAGAGAGATTGTGTGGGAAAGAGGCGGAGAGTACGAGCGATGGGGAAAGGGAGAAAGTGATTCATGGAAGGAAGGCGAGGGCGGGAGAGGGGCGCACATCCATCATGTCGCCTGGCCTGGCCGGCGGGGCAGGTGCAGAAGCCAACGCCAAAGACAGGGTCGATGCACCCGCAGTCACCGCCGTCAAAGGCGCACGTGGGCGTGTTGCATTCGGGGTTGCACACCCCGTTGGTTATCAGCTGCAGCGAGCATGCTGGCGCGCAGCGGAAGGCCGTGTCTGGTGAGTGGGGAGGGGAGGGACACGAGGAGGGAGGGCGGCGGTGGGATGCAGGGCAGGCGGGGGTAAGAATGCGTGAGAGGGTAGGAGGAGACACATGGAGGTGGGTACAGGACCTAACGAGCTTCTCATCCGTCACCAGAGAGCGGCCCAGGTGGCAGGCGGGCTCCTCATGTGAGAGCTGCCCACATCAGGGCTCCTCATGTGAGAGCTGCCCACATCAGGGCTCCTCATGTGAGAGCTGCCCACATCAGGGCTCCTCATGTGAGAGCTGCCCACATCAGGGCTCCTCATGTGAGAGCTGCCCACATCAGGGCTCCTCATGTGAGAGCTGCCCACATCAGGGCTCCTCATGTGAGAGCTGCCCACATCAGGGCTCCTCATGTGAGAGCTGCCCACATCAGGGCTCCTCATGTGAGAGCTGCCCACATCAGGGCTCCTCATGTGAGAGCTGCCCACATCAGGGCTCCTCATGTGAGAGCTGCCCACATCAGGGCTCCTCATGTGAGAGCTGCCCACATCAGGGCTCCTCATGTGAGAGCTGCCCACATCAGGGCTCCTCATGTGAGAGCTGCCCACATCAGGGCTCCTCATGTGAGAGCTGCCCACATCAGGGCTCCTCATGTGAGAGCTGCCCACATCAGGGCTCCTCATGTGAGAGCTGCCCACATCAGGGCTCCTCATGTGAGAGCTGCCCACATCAGGGCTCCTCATGTGAGAGCTGCCCACATCAGGGCTCCTCATGTGAGAGCTGCCCACATCAGGGCTCCTCATGTGAGAGCTGCCCACATCAGGGCTCCTCATGTGAGAGCTGCCCACATCAGGGCTCCTCATGTGAGAGCTGCCCACATCAGGGCTCCTCATGTGAGAGCTGCCCACATCAGGGCTCCTCATGTGAGAGCTGCCCACATCAGGGCTCCTCATGTGAGAGCTGCCCACATCAGGGCTCCTCATGTGAGAGCTGCCCACATCAGGGCTCCTCATGTGAGAGCTGCCCACATCAGGGCTCCTCATGTGAGAGCTGCCCACATCAGGGCTCCTCATGTGAGAGCTGCCCACATCAGGGCTCCTCATGTGAGAGCTGCCCACATCAGGGCTCCTCATGTGAGAGCTGCCCACATCAGGGCTCCTCATGTGAGAGCTGCCCACATCAGGGCTCCTCATGTGAGAGCTGCCCACATCAGGGCTCCTCATGTGAGAGCTGCCCACATCAGGGCTCCTCATGTGAGAGCTGCCCACATCAGGGCTCCTCATGTGAGAGCTGCCCACATCAGGGCTCCTCATGTGAGAGCTGCCCACATCAGGGCTCCTCATGTGAGAGCTGCCCACATCAGGGCTCCTCATGTGAGAGCTGCCCACATCAGGGCTCCTCATGTGAGAGCTGCCCACATCAGGGCTCCTCATGTGAGAGCTGCCCACATCAGGGCTCCTCATGTGAGAGCTGCCCACATCAGGGCTCCTCATGTGAGAGCTGCCCACATCAGGGCTCCTCATGTGAGAGCTGCCCACATCAGGGCTCCTCATGTGAGAGCTGCCCACATCAGGGCGCACAGAGCGACGAACACCGTTGAGCACTGACCTTCAGGCTCGGGAGGCGGAACGAGCACGGTGACCATCCCCGACATGGACGAGGAGGAGCCTGTTGAGGAGGAGGAAGAGGAGGAGGCAGAGGAAGAGGAGGCGGAGGGCCCTGCATTCCCGATCTCGCCGATCTCGCCGACGTCGTTGCCGCTCTCATAGAGGTACACGCCCGGGCGCAAGAAGACCTTGGTGTATGTGAACGTGGCGTTGCCGTCCGAGGCAAGCTCTGGAGAGAGGGTGGGAAAGGGGGAACAGGGGTAGGGGGGTTGAGGGGGAAGTAGAGAGGCGAGAAAGGCGGGGATAGGAGGGCAAGAGGAGTGTGGATTGGGGTTCAGGTGGTTGCATTCGTTTAGCATGAAGCGGTGCGATAAGTGAGGAGGGAAAGTGCAAGAGCTGCTGATGATCAAGACGGCATGCCACTCACTGACGGCATGCCACTCACTGACGACACAGGGCACGGGGTCATCGTAGTCGTCCTTGGCGCCCACGTTCATGGGCGAGCAGAAGAAGCGCCGCGACAGCGCCAGGCGGTGGCCTCCAAAGCCCTCAAAGAACGGCTTCGGCCCGTCGCCCATGCCCGATACTGCCACACACATGCATGGCGTGGAAGGGGGGAGGGGGTGGAGAAGCAATTTAGAGACGAAACGAAAGATAATGAAGGGGCACGACACGACCAACTCTGTTCACTAGCGGTTGACCGATTGCTACTTAGGAACCACGAGGGATCAACCAGCGAGCAACATGGGAAGAGCGTGAAGCCGAGAGGGTGAGCTCACTTCTGAGGCGACTCAAAAACATACTCACTTCTGAGGGAGTGCGGGAGGTCATCATCCCACACCCAGGTGATCTTGTCGCCCACATGGATGGTCGTGTTGTGCTTCACACCCGCCTTCCACTGCAGCCACGTGCCGCCCTGCGAGCACCCCTCGGTGCTGGCGCTCACAATGGCGGGGTCGAGGCGGTGGAAGAAGGACGAGAGGTCCGCCAGGGCGTCGGGGGAGAGCGCGGTGACAGACTGCATGGCTGCTAGGAGGATATCGATGAATCGCCTCAGCTGCTGTGATGTGATCACCAGGTGGCCCCTGCAGGGTGGCAGGAAGGGGGCAGGTGGAAGGAAGGGGGCAGGTGGAAGGAAGGGGGCAGGTGGAAGGTAGGGGGTAGATGGACAGGGTGAGGCATTGGCGGTTGGAGGCAGGCTGATTTGCTGGCGATGGACGGAAGGAAGAAAGGAAGGCAAGTGGACAAAGGGATGAGAAGGTTGAGGACGAGAAGGAAGCGAAGGGCGATTGTTTCGTGTGCACGCCAGGCACGCTCACTCACCCCAGGTGCACCTTCTTGAAGTGTCTGTAGAGCTCGTCTGCCTGCACCAGCTGGTGCCCCGTGGCGTTGCGCAAGCGGCACAGCTCCAGGCGCTCCGCCGGCAATGAGCGGCCACA